GTTTTGGATTTCCATTCATTCATTGCCGCAATTTTCTCCCTTCCCACCCCTCCCCACCAGCTCGCTTCCCCCTCCGAAGAGAGAAAAAAAAAAAAGAAAGAAAATTCCTTCATTAGTATACAATTCAGGATATTTTTAAGTAAAATAACTTAGAAGCTGAGAGTACTTGGTGGTGAAGAACACGGTAACAGCTAGTTCAGTTTGATACCATTGTCTTAATTTCATTCTTTGATGAATTTATCCCCCAGTGAGTGTGTATCATCAAAACTGACGCCAAAAGAATAAAATTGGTAAATAATGTGTTGAGTTTTATTCTGTGAATAGTTGGGGCCATGTGACTTCTTTAAAATAACTCAAGGAACCCCTTACCTGTGGCTCACACTTTGAAAATCACTATTCTATTGAATTTACTAATCAGGTATTTTTTATTATATTGTTTTTAAATCCTTGACCAACGTGTGTCCTTAAATTCCTTAGATTCACTGTAAGAACAATGCCTATTGTAATTGAAAAGGAGAACATAGAAATGCTTATTTGAAAACTTTGATTACAAAACAAACAATAGCTGCTCCACTTACCTTAGGAGAAGAAATCTTCACATAGACGATAATAGGAGCCAAAGAAGTTTTACTAAGTTGAGCGGGATGGTTTATAGTGTCGGCATCAAGGACTACCAGTTGCAACGTTCTTGCAAGTTCAAAAATCCTTTCAATTTCACTCTGAACTTCAGCTGTATGAGTTAAACAGAGGTCAATTACAGTATTTTTTAGAACAAATTAAAGATAAAGGAAAATGGTACATCATTCCCACAACATGAGACAGGTAGGTCCACCATTATGCTACTCTCCATAGACAGCAGAGCTGATAAAAGGTATGGTATCCTGTGCAAAAGGCAGGGGCTTGGATGCTAACAGGAAGGGCAGCAATTTGGTTTTTTGTGTTTTTTTTTTAAATGTTTAGAAAAGTTTTTATTTAAATTTTGTTTTCATTTTATTATAGATCATATAGGAAATAACAATTTGAACTCAACAGTTGTCAGAGGGAGAAGAGTGCGGCAGCCTGCTTCCACAAAGTCACTTATCTGCTCTCATTCCTGTCTGGTCAGAATTGACTCATACCTGAGCCTCCTTTCGGTTTCAGGGGCTGTAAATTGCATGGGAGGAGAAGACCCGTCTTTCTCCTGAGGATTCTTTCTTCCTCTGGTGGATTCGAACCCTCAGAGTGGTTCAGCCTTTGGGGTAGGCTCCATGCATGAACTTTGGAAATACCTTGGAAATATCAGGCAGTCTTATTCTGTTCTTTATATAGGATTGCCATGAAGTAAAGGGAACTCGAGTGGTTGAGTGGATAAAAAATTGTGCTGCCCACCTAACGACACATAGTTCAAACTGACTAGCTGCTCTGTGGGAGAAAGACAGATAATCTCCTTCCACATAACTTACAGCTTCTGAAAACCCACTGGTGAGTCAACTACAAGTCAGTTCTAACCTGATGGTACAAAACGCACCACACGCACTGGAGTCAACTTGATGGCAGCAGGTTTGGGATTTGGGGAAGGGCTATTTGTCTACAATATCTTTAACATTTGGGCAATTATTTCTTCAATTAGCTATAAAATTTATTTCCAGGGGAACACTCTATGTCCACAAAAAATAAAATTTACTGGCTTTCCCTAGTAACTTCTGTTTTGTGCTATAAAACTCTATGGAATAATTTCATTGAAATATAAGAAATGTGAGTCTTCCTATGTTTGTTTTTGATCACTTCAACCTAGCAGTCATTCTCAGCTTTTCCTTCACTGCTTCTGTTTATCTGTGACACTGTTACAGATTATCTGTTTATCTAGACAGAGTCTAGATCTGTTTATTGGCAAGCTGAAATATAACATAAAGTAAGGAGGACATTAAGAGTTCCCATAACAAACTTTAGGAAGCGATATGGGCAGTTCTACTCTAAGAAAAATTGTCCTAGGGCTGCTGAGTTAGAATGGACTCAGTAGTTTGCTAGTGGGGTGTTCCCCCACCCTCCCTGGTCATTTGCTTTTTATAAGAAAATAGTACAGGCAAAACTTTTTGTGATGATGCAAACAATCTGCATCTGGTGAACAAATGTAGTGGTGATGAGCTATCAACCCAAAGGAAAGCAATTATTTTTTTTTTTTTTTTTAGGGAAGCAATTCTAAGTCATCAGCTGCTCTGAAAGAGAATGATAGGTAAACTCCTTCTGCGTGATTTATTTCCTCTGAAAACCAGCTAGGAGGGCCAGCTATGGATCAGTTCAGATGCAATGGCAATGAGCTTTTGAAATGCTGCTGGTAGCTGCAAGTCATATATGCAGCAGAGTATGTGAAATGTAGCTAGTATGAATAAGGAGTTGCATAAGCTTTTACATTTTAATTATTTAAACTTAAGTAGGCACATGAGCTAGATGCTACTGTACCCGGCAGCACAGGTATGTGAAACCTAACGGTGCTGTTTACAGCTGTCTCTTTAATCACAGAGGGCCGGCCCATGAGGCTCCGACAGGCCAGCACATGTGGACGTGGGGTTGTGGTCAGGTGCCATCAACTCATTCTGGACTTAATGCCTGAAGAGAACTGTGCACGGGGTTGTTTATAAGGTATATAGACTCAGACACCCAGTGGAAAGTGTGAGTAGTCAGAACAGCTGTGAAGAAATGAGTTTTTAATGAGGATGTCTTAAAAAAAAAAAATCAGAGCTCAAACTACTTGAGATCAACTCAACTCACTGCCACTGAATTGACTGTGACTCTGATCTTCTATAGGGTTTGCAAGGCTGCAAATTTTAACAGGAGGAGATTGCCCATCTTTTTTCCAAGTGGATTTGCCACTGGTGGATTTGAATCACCCAAGAGGTGCAGTCTTAGGGTTAGCCATAAAACATGCTAGGAACTCCACCAATAGGGCTCCTCTAGGAGATAATGGCTTTTAAATAGCATTTGGCCTTGTATCACCTGTGACAGAGTCTTGAAAATGTTGAAATAATAAAAAAAGAGGGAAAAAAATAAAATGCAAACCTGATCAAGTTTGAGGATCTAATAGTTTCAAGCTCTCATCACTTACATCAAGCAAGGTTGTGTGTGCCATCTGCATAATGCAGGTTGTAAATAAGACTTCACTGATCCTGACTGCACATTCCTCTTCACAGAGTTTGGCTTCATTAATGATTTGCTCAATATACAGCTTGAAAGGTATGAAGAAAGGATACATTTCTGACTTTAATCTATGAAGTGTTCCCCTGCTTTGTTTTGAAAACAGCTTATTGGTCTAGGTATAGACTTTGCATGAGTACAATTAAGTGTTTTGTGATTCCTATTCTTCTGATTGTTAGCCATAGTTTGTTATGATCCACCTAATCAAATACTTTTGTATAGTCAATACAACAGAGATAGACATTTTTCTTTTATATGCTGCTTTTATCTAGAATCCATATCAACAATAAATAACCTTGGAGCCACAGCCTCTTCCAAGCCCAGCTTGAACTTCTCTGACAGTTCCTTGTCAATGTACTGTTCTAGCCACTTTTGGATGATCTTCAGTTGCATTTCGCTTGCATGTGACATTAACAATATGTTCGAAACTTTCCACATTCTATTGAGTCACCTTTCTTGGGAATGGGAACAAATATGAATCTCTTCCAGTCAGTTTGCTAGTCAGGTGTCCTCCAAATTTCCTGGCATAGACTGGTAAAACTTCATGCCTTTGGGGTTGCAGTACAGTTTCTTACCACTAGAGATCTCTTTAATAATATTATTATTGTTGTGCTCCATAGAGTTGGAATTGACCAATTGCTGTCCCTCAGGCGGGTTTTCAGAGGCGGTTAAATACATGAGAGGAGACTGCCCATCATTCTTCTGTGGAGTAGCTAGTAACCTTGAACCATGTGCCTTCATGATTGCAGTGCAGCTTCATTTCACTGGGCTACCAGAGCTCCCTTTAATAATATTAAGTGTAGTTAATACTGCTCCTTGGAGGGAAAGACTCTGGAAATTTGTCTGACATACTTTGGACATGTTGCAAGGTGTCCTTGGAGAAGGGCAGCATGCTTGGGAGGGTGGAGATACAGCAGAAGACAAGAAGACTCTCTATGAGGTGGATTGATTCAGTAACTTGGGTAATTGGGATAGGTGTGTCGAAGACCGTGAAATTGGCACAGGACAAAGCAGGGTTTAGGGCTGTAGTACATAGGATCACAATGAGTCACAGGCTACTCAATGGCACATAATGACAACAACAACAACAACAATATTAGGGAGCTCTCATGGCCTAGAGGTAAGAATGTGCACTGCACCCATCAACAAACGAATGGCTAGAGAAGCTGTGGTATATTCGCACAATGGAATACTATGCTGCATTAAAAAACAAGGAACTCATGCAATATTAT